CGATGCTCGGGATGGAGGGACCCCACCGGTGCCCAGGATGGGATGGGAAGGTGCACCCTGGTGCGATGCTCGGGGATAGGGAGGGGGACCCCAGCGGTGCCGAGAACAGGGATACCCCCCAGTGCCCGGAGCGATGCTCGGGAAGGGGGAACCCCGCGGGTGCCCAGGACGGGGTGGGAAGGACCAGGCCCCCCCTCCATGCCCTCACCGAACGCGTCCTGCGCACAGCAGCAGCAGCGGCGGCGCCGGCCGGTCTCGGTCTCGCTGGCCATGGCGGAGCAGCGGCGGTGCCGGGGGTCGCAGGGATCGGTTCCCCCCGCCGGGGCCAGGTGGGATTTAACGGGCGGTGCCGGGCATGCGCGGGGCGCGCCCCCGGGAGCCGCCCCGTTCCCACCGGGAGGGGCCCGGTCTGGTCCCCTCCCGAGCCTCGTCCGCCGGGAGCTGCGGTGCGGAGACAGCGAGGCGGGTGCGAGGGAAGCGGGGTGCACAGGGGACGGGATGCGCGGTGAATGGGGGTGCACAGGGAGCGGGGCACACAAAGCGTCCGGGTGCACGGGGATGTACGGGAAGCGGGGTGGCACTTCCAGTCAATTGCCAGCACCTATAATAAATGCTCGGAGCAAGGCAGAGGGATTCCAGCCGCTCCAGCCAATGAGCCAGCTTCACTTGAAGCTCAGGTGATACCTCTAGAGCATTAGAGCAACCGTTAGAGCAGAGACTAGGGCTCCATTCAAGGTTGAGCCCAAGTAATTCAGAGATCATTGTTAAGCCTAGTGGAGCCCTTTGAAAGGAAGAGGATGAGATGGGAAGAGTTAGAAGGGCATGGGAAAGTCATCACCTCCCAGCTGAGCCCATTACCTGTATTTTCTGTCCCCAGGGATAAGAAAACACAAGTGCAAAAGGTACCCAAGATTTCAGTATCTTCCTTTCCAATCCACACCAGCCCTGTCTGGGAAAATGTGCTCCCAGCAGACCTGCGGGACAGCAAGGCTCAGAAGTGCAGGCTGCAATCCTGAACCTGGCACTGTGCAGATTGACCTGCCAACATCACTAAGGGACTGTTTCCTGCTCTTTTACTCTGTCGCCCATGCTTGTAACCTGTCTAACCCCCCTTTTGTCTCCTCACAGTCCTGCCCATGCTGCTGGTGCCAGAGACCCGCTCTGAGCATCGCACTGGCGGATGATGAGGGCTCTGCTGGGAAGTCTCTGAACTTGAACTGCTGGGAAGAGCTCTGAACCAGACTGATCCATCCCCTCATCCGAGTCACTTCCTGGCGAGAGGGAAGGAGATGCTGATCCTCATAGGATTCTTCATTTCCAGGTAGGAAAGCCATGTCGCTTCCAGCCATTTGTCTCAGCTGCGCAGACTGGGTCAATTGCTGAGGTGAGCAGCTCGAGAGAGGACGCTTTCAACACCTGAGCGGGGGCGAAGCTCAGCATCCAGGGCCTCGGCTCAGAGGGACGAGAGCCAGCGAGGGAGCCTCGAGTCCTCGCCAGCCCCTGCCCAGGGACTCACAGGGGGCAGAGCCAGGGGGAGCGGTACCAGCCCTGAGGGGGTAAAAACCTGCCCCAGGGAGCGCGGGGAGGCAACAAAGCGGGCAGGCGAGCGGGATGGTGAGCACTCGCCTTATGGCCAGGGCCCGCTCTGGGAGCTCTGCTCCGGCTGCCCCAGCCGTGGCAGCGTAGGCACCCAGACAGAGCCGATGGGAGGGGAGGCTGCAGTGTAGAGAGTGCCTGGACTGGACTTGTGAGGGGAGGGTGCGCAATGGGCAGGGCTGCACTCGGTGCAGGTCCTCCTGCAGCAGGGGCTGAGCTGCGGGACGCTGTCAATAGGCTGCAAGATGGCAGGGAAGCTGAGAGGAAGCAGCACTGCTTGCTCCAGGCCCAAACTGTGCAGGGGCCTCAAGCGTCCCCTGTAGCTCATGGAGGAGAGAAGGAGGCCGTTAACCCAGAAAGGTGGGAATTAGGAACAAAAAAAAACCAACAAAAAAAGGAGGAAGGGGACAATCAAAAGCAAGGGGCTTCCTCCTGAATCTGTTGTCCCCACCCAGAACCGCTTTCCAGTTCTGCAGGGGGCTAACGAGGACACACACTCGCAGCATGAACAACCGACTGGTGCACTGCGAAGGAAGATCTCTGCTGGTGCTGCCAGGAAAAAGCGGCGGGTCGTAGTAGTAGGGGACTCTACTTTGAAAGGCACAGAAGCACTCGTCTGCTATCCTGACCCGGTCTCAAGGCAGGTGTGTTGCCTACCTGGGGCATGGATCAGGGATGTTGCAGAGAGGCTGCCTGCTCTAGTAAGTCCCACTGACTATTGCCAACTTCTCATGATCCATGTGGCTGCTAGTGATATAGACAGCAGTAGCCCAGAGAGCATTAAGAAGAACTACGGAGCCCTGGAGAGGTGGTCAGGGGCTTTGGAGCTCAGATAGTCTTTTCATCAATGCTCCAGGATAAAGGGGAGCACCTTACAAAAGGCTAGGCCTGATTTGCCAGGTTAATAAATGGTTAGAAGAGTGGTGCCATAGTAAAGGGTTTGGGTATCTAGAACATGGGACTCAATCTGGGAGGCCAGGTCTAGTGGAGGCTGGTGGAGCTGATGCAACAAAGAGAGGTTTTGGTAGTATTGCCCGGCTGGTCAAGAAAGCTTTAAAGTCCATGTGTTGCGGGAGGGGGCATCATTCCATCCCAGCACTTCCAGTCAATTGCCAGCACCTATAATAAATGCTGGGAGCAAGGCAGAGAGATTCCAGCCGCTCCAGCCAATGAGCCGGCTTCACTGGAAGCTCAGCTCAGATACCTCTACACAAAAGGGCCTGTAGTATGGGGAACAAAGGAGGAGTGAGAGATGTGTGCACGTCTGCAGGGGTATGATGGAATAGGCATCACAGAAACATGGTGAGATGGCTCCTATAACTGGAGTGTTGGAATGGAAGGTTAGAGGCTCTTCAGAAAAGGCAGGCCCGGCAGGCGGGGAGAGGGAGTTGCTGTTTATGTTAGCGATAGGCTGGAGAGTATGGAACTCTGTCTGGGGACAGGTGATCAGTCAACAGAGAGTTTGTGGGTCAGGGTTAAAGGGAGAACAGCAATGGGAGACATTACTGTGGGGATCTGTAACACACCGCCTGATCAGGGACACTCTGTGGACGAAGCGCTCTATAGACAGATAGGAACAGCCTCACGCTCACAGGCCCTTGTCCTCATGGGGGACTTGAACCACCCTGACATCTGTTGGAACGATGGTGCGGCCCGGCACAAGCAAGCCAGGAGGTTCCTCTATTGTGTGGAAGACAACTTCCTTCTGCAAGTAATAGAGAGGAGCCAACAAGGAGAGGTGTCATGCTTGCCCTCGTGCTCACCAACAGGGAAGGGCTGGTTGGAAATGTGATGCTCCAGGGCAGCCTTGAATGCAGCGATCATGAGATGGTCGAGTTTGAGATCCTCAGGACAGTGAGAAGAGCATGCAGCAAGCAAGTGCATCCCTGGGTGCCCAGTGGCCATGGGCACAACGCTGCCGCCATCACAAAGCGTCAGTGGTTGCTGTGGAGTTGCCTGTGACCAGCTGGGAGTGTTTGGAACTGGTGAGGGCATGGCATCTCCATGGAAACCACGGGGGCATTGTTACATCTTTCATGTGGGGTATTTAAGGCCCTGGAGCACCCTAGAGGTGGCAGTTGATCTGTGAATCCACGGCAAGTCTGCATCCATGGACACAGAAGATGCCAGCGGATCAAACGCCCGCTCCCAGCCTGCCAAGGGCAGGCCAGGAGTGCAAAGGCGACGCCAGGTGAGGGCTGGGGCAGGAGTGGGAGGTCGGTGGTGGGACGGGGCCACATGGAGCTGCCTTGGTGGTGGGGCTGGGCTTGCCAGCACTGCGAGGGCTGCTGTGCTAAGGCAGCCGCCTCCATCACACACCTCTTCCTCCTCCTCCTCAGGAGACAGAGGAAAGAGATTCTTGTGATGATGGTGAGCAGGAGGCAGCACCACAGGCAGAGAGTCAGGCACCTGCCCTGATCAGCCCTGATGCGCATGAGATGGTTCCACAGGGAGCAGCCCTGCTCATCACAAGGGAGCGTCTGGTCCAGGCTGTGGCTGTGGAGGAGGAAACCAGCCAGCAGCTGGCAGAACCTCAGGACGTGACCCAAACCCTGGGTGCGGCACTGGACAAAGAGGAGAAAGAGTGGGAAGAGGGCGTTGATAAAGTGCTGTTCCAACAGGAAGAGATCACCATCCGCAACATCTGGATCAACCCCTTGGTCCCAGAGCTCTTCCAGGACGCCCAGGCCGATATCCAGGAGGGGTCTGGCTGCCCCAGCAGCAGGGGCATGGATGGGACAGAAGAGGCTACTGCAGACCTGCAGAACACGTCTCCTATCCCAGCTGGACCCACAGGCACCGAGTCAGCAGCTTCTCCGTTAGCTGGAGCTGCAGAGGAACAGGAGCTCTGCGCACCTCTCACTCCAGTGGCACACGAGGAGGTGGCACCGGCACCGGTTTCCCCTGCCTGTGGCGAGCAGGAGGAAGCACCACAGGCACAGAGGCAGGTACCTGCCCTGCTCAGCCCTGATGCCTGTGAGATGGTTGCAGAAGAAACAGCAGGGAACATCACTGAACAGGTCCTGATCATGAATCCGGCTGTGGTCCAGGGAGCCAGCCAGCAGCTGGCAGAACCTCAGGACGTGACCCAAATCCTGGATGCAGCAGTGCCCAAAGAGGAGAAAGAGTGGGAAGAGGGCGTTGATAAAGTGCTGTTCCAAGGGGAAGAGATCACCATCCGCAACATCTGGATCAACCCCTTGGGCCCAGAGCTCTTCCAGGACGCCCAGGCCGATATCCAGGTGGGGTCTGGCTGCCCCAGCAGCAGGGGAATGGATGCGACAGAAGAGGCTACTGCAGACCTGCAGAACACGTCTCCTATCCCAGCCGGACCCACAGGCACCGAGTCAGCAGCTTCTCCGTTAGCTGGAGCTGCAGAGGAACAGGAGCTCTGCGCACCTCTCACTCAGATCCCTGCAGCAGAGGCTGGAACATCCCATGTTCCTCCAGGAGCAGGTGACAGCGGAGATGCAGCAGCTTCTCCCTTGTGTCGGGACTCTCGGCGCCAGGTGAGTGAGGTGCATGCGGCTGACACCCGGGATCCCAAGGCCTTGGATGGCAGCTCCCAGGGGGCTTGTGACAGGGCTATTTCTGGTGCTCCCTGTGTCACCCAACTGACATTGCCCCCATTCCCTGCCTGTGCTCTTGCTACCCTGCAGGGTAGGGTCAGACGCTTTGTGAGGAAACACCTGGGCAAGGCTGTGACTGTCATCCAGGGAACAAGGCAACAGCAGGTGGAAGAGCCAGACGTGGCACTAAGGTTGGATGTGGAGTCACCGTCACTGTCGCCTGCTGTAGTTCAGGACAGCGAGAACCAGCCAGGTACTTCCCCGAGTTGGGTGGCACCCAGGCCAGGCCGGCAGCAGTGCGTGCATGCGTTCGGCTGTGTCCCAGCCTCCCCTGCACGGGCTGCGGGCTGCAAGCCTGCGGTGAAAAGGGCCACGAGGATGATCAGGGGGTTGGGACACCTCCCGTACGAAGGCAGGCTGAGAAGGTTGGGGCTGTTCAGCCTGGAGAAGAGAAGGCTGCATGGAGACCTCCTAGCAGACCTTCCAGTATCTGAAGGGGGCCTATAGGGATGCTGAGGAGAGACTCTTCATTAGGATCTGTAGTGATAGGACAAGGGGTAACGGCTTCGAACCTAAACAGGGGAAGTTTAGACTGGATTTAAGGAGGAAGTTGTTTACTGTAAGGGTGGTGAGGCGTTGGAATGGGTTGCCAGAGGTAGTCCCTCGCCTGCAGCTCTTCTTCACCCCCACAGGCATTGCCACTCTTCCAGACCCAGGAGCAGCCCCACGGCGACGACTCCATCGCTTCAGGAGAGTGCTGAGGGCTCTGCGCAAGTCTTTCCGTTTCTCCTGCTTCACCCCACGTGTGCAGGAGTAGCGCCCTGCTGACAGCACCAGGCCCAAGGGAGCTGTGCCGAGGATGTCGTGCTGCAGCCTGCACTTGTTGTGGCTGCTTTCTTGGGCCAATAAAAATAATTCTTTCCCCCCCCTCCCACCAGTGCTCGTCTCTGCCTGTACATTGGGTAGAATATGTTTGTGTCATTCATGGGCCTCTATATTTAATTAGCGTAAAACAACTGACTTCGATCTAAGCGGCTACCTATCTGTTGCAATTAGTTCTTGCTTGATAATTAATTGCCAATGGATGATTAAAGACTCGTTTACTGAGGGTTAGCAGCAATCAAGACATGTATCTAGTACTCGGGGGATTCACTATGCAGTAACTGGGTTGTTGAATTGAATTCTTATTGGAGACCTTTAAAGTGTGACCTGAGAAAACTTCTCTGCAGCCAGTGGGTCCTCTAAGGGCTTGCTCGTGCCCTCCTGGATCTGCTGCCAGGGGCAGTATTGCTCCTAAGAGGGGGAGGCAGTGTGGATCCTCCTGGCTCCCTGGGGGGAGTAACTTGCTTCCATCTGCAAGTTGAAGGTGGAAAAGCAGGATCTCAGGTCTTGGATGTGTTGGTGGAGCAGCCAGAGCCTCTTGGTCATGTTGGATGACGGCTGTGCAAGGTGTCAGCTGGTTGGTGATTTGCTCTGCATGGTGGCAGCAGGAACCAGTTACCAAGTACACACATGGTGTGGGGGGAGCTGAGATACCAGGAAAAAGTAGCAGGCAAGGATGGCAAGGCAAAGGAAACAAAAAACAGATGCAGTGGAAACAGAAATGCAGATGACCACCGTTGTGGAAAAACGACGGGAGACAAGTCCATCCTATAATGCAACTGGTCTCGTTTATTGAACGCTCGGTAACAGGTTATATAGCATCTATAATGAGCTCATTCATAGTGCAAAACCTGAGCTCATTATTGGTTAATTGCTAAATGTAAACGCCGCCCCTCTTGTGGTTAACTTCAGCAAATTAGAGCCTCTTTTTGCACCCTGTTATTGCAAAAAGGGACTTTCCCGCTAGCACAAGGGCACAACGACCTTGCCTATGATTGGTTGCCAGGCTGTTGCGTATACCTTGCTTTTGTTACTGGCCCACAAGCCGTACGTGCTCTTCATGTCCCCGCTCTCCAAGCCATGTCTCAATAAAACTCTCCACATTTCCCCCGTTTTCTTTTTGAACAATTCTCTTGTCAAATACGGCATGTGCCAAAGCTTCCATACGAGATGTTAAACACCTTAACAGGCATGGTCCAAAAAGACATATTATTAATATTATCAGTACAGGCATGGCTAGTGTCATTAATATGCTCCGAAACCAGGGTCCTAAACCTAGGCTTTTCAGCCATTCGTCCAGGCCAGGGCCGTTCTGTTTCTTTAACACATGTAGTCCATCTTGCAGCTGTTTTAGTTTAGTATGGATGGACCCGGAATGATCAGACAGATTCAAACAACACATTCCTTCAAATTCCTCACACCCATGTCCTTGTGCCAAGAGTAAGAAGTCGATGGCTGCCCTATTTTGTAAAGCTGCGTGATTAACACTTTGAACATCTTGTGATAACATATCTATTAATTGAGATACTAAATTAAGCTCATTTCTCGTCCAACATCCGAGTTGCTCTGCTAGTTTCATTGCTTTAGCGGCGGCTAAGCCAGGAAAAAGTGTAGCAGAAGCCACTCGTGCAAAATCACTCCAAAAGGTTGGAGTACCCACTTCAGTACACTTCAACTCATGTACACTACGTCTGGTCCTTTGATTTCTGTTATTAGCCCATCGCATTAACAGCGATATGTTGGGGTGAAATAGTGATAGTTTGCCGAGATAGCATGGGCCCCCTTGAAGAAATGCCGGTACGCCATTCCAAGCTCTATCACCACATATCAAAAATATGCCTGTTTTATAATATTAGTGCCATTGCAGCTGGAGTAGAGAAAATTGTATATAGAGCTTGGATCCAATGCAGAATCAAGAGACGCCCAATGGCGTCGGTGTTGATTAAGATGTTGTTCATTGATAGGCAGAAAGGAAAGCCATCCAGAGTTAGTGTTGGTAGCATTTACACTACCAAATAAATCCAATTCCTCTGGTGGGGAGGTCAACGTGGTATTTAAAAGTGATATTACGATACATTGAGTACCTCCATCCCCCTTAAAAGGCCCTAGGTTTGCACCAGTAAGGTTCCCATAAAAGGTGTTGTTAAGGAGCGAATAATTGAAGAATTTTTCTTCCTGAGCGACAAACCCTTTAAACTCTGAGGGTTTCCATACAGGCGAACCTATAAGGCACGTTCTAAAGGGGCTGGATACACTGCCAAAGCTCAAACAAAGAGAAGATTGATTAGTTTGGTTGGCTATGGTAACCCACATGTTGTCCCTTGGAAAATTAAATTGCTGCAGTGTTATACTTGCATGTCCTAAATCTAACATAATTACAAAAATGATCAAGCTGCTCAACATCATTTCCCCATTCTCTGCCAACTTCCAAAACCACAATCGAAACCACAACTACTACACCCCAAATCATGCAACAACGATTGTTCCACCCAGAAGGCTCGAGTACATCCCCCACACAATAGTGTTATCCACGCAGAACAGTTTACCCAACCACAATCAAGGCAGCGGTAATATGCTGGCCCTTCCCTATTAAAAGTCTGTAAGGAGTTAAGCAGTTCAATAAAGTCCTCAAAGTCTTGCATCGGGTAATGTCTCGATCAAGTTGCTTGTGGTAACCTTTCAGTTGTGACCGCAGGGGTATCAGGATGAGCTTCGCCTTCTGTCTGATTCTCCTTTTGGTCTCTGCAGTTATCGCTAGAGGGAGGCGCTGCATCAGCGGCAGGCCTTGTCCAGCGTGCGGGCACCCACACCGTTCCTGTTGGAGTGGAAACACAAAGATATCCCCTTCCCCAATATATAACTTTAGCTGGATCTTGCCAAACACCCGTTTTTGGGTCCTTATATTTAACCCAAACCTCTTTTTCATTTCCTAATGGCTTTCCCTGACCATAATGCTGCTCTGCGGGGGACTGAGTTGCGTCTCTGAAAACGCACAAGTAATTAATAACAAACAGACTCTTTTGCAATCTGGAATAAATATCCTTAACCTCTTTATGTTTTTCCAAGTATCGCTTTAGAGTACCGTTTGCACGTTCAACTATCGCCTGACCTGTTGGCGAGTGAGGAATCCCAGTTACATGCTCTATCTCCCAAGTTAACAAGAACTGTTTTATTCTATCACTTATATAAGCGGGACCATTATCTGTTTTTATTCTTTTAGGGATTCCCATTACCGCAATACAACTGAGCAGATGACGCTCCACATGTAATGCCTTTTCTCCAGTTTGGGCTGTTGCCCAGATAAACCGACTATACGTATCCATAGTAACATGTACATATTTCAGACGCCCGAACTCAGATACATGGGTAACATCCATCTGCCAAATTTCGTTTGCCTGCAGGCCTCGTGGATTTACACCGACTCCGAGGCCAAGACCACTATTATGATGGCTACAAATAGGGCAGGCTTTTATCAGCGCTTTTGCTTCGGATAGAGGTATTTTGAATTCCTTAACCAAGCCCTTAGCATTTTGATGGAACATAGAGTGAGCCTCTTGAGCCAATTTTAATTTGGATATCGGTGTCTTTTGAGCCACCGAGACTAATCTATCCGCTCTGGCATTTCCTTCACCCAGGCCCACTTCCCATTTGTGGCTCCTAACATGAATAATGGCATATGCATGTTCTCGCAACTTAGTTGCTCTTTTTAGTTGCATCAATAATTCAAACAGTCTAGGGTTTTTCACTTCTCTTACATAAGCATCCTCAATTCTATCAGCCACTCCTGCCACATATAATGAATCTGTTACCACATTTAATGGTCCCTTCAGATTCATTAATGCCCATACAACAGCCAGGAGCTCCATTGTTTGTAGGCTGTCCGAGTCCCTTGCTTTTAGCACCTGATGTTTCCACCCCCCTTTATCCTGCCAGGTCACTGCAGCAGTTTGGGATTTCCTCCCGGCATCAGTAAAGGCGGTTATCGCCCCTGAGATAGGTTGACTCTCTTTCTGTGGACGAACTATCCAATCCCAACCTCCCATCCATTGTATAGGTGGTGGCCGCAATTTATCTGTTTCAATCAAACTGCTTGCACCCAAAAGGGCCTCCTGCAGATCAGGACTATTTCTTAAATACCACTCAAAACTGTCCTTTTTCATAGGAATCCCGATTACTGCAGGCTCTTGACCCGTTATCTGAGTCAACCGCTCGCGACCTTTATTAATCAAGGCTGCCATATTTTCAGGTTTTTGTACAAGAGTTTTTGTTTGTTGTAATGGCGTGGAGATCCACTCTAACACCCATATCTCCCCCGTTTTCTTTTTCAACTGTGTGAGAGCCCCAAGAAGGTAAACAGGGCCATTCCAAATAGTTAAGTCGATAGAGACAGTCAGATCTCGGCGGAAAACCTGTCCTTGGGTAACACACTTTGAGATCTCTCACAGGGCTTGTCGGTGTTCTGTATCCAGGTGTATACGCTGGGCTGGATCTGTGCCTCTTAACAAAGGACGCAGCACAGATAGGAGCTCATTAGGGATTCCCACTATGGGTTTGAGCCATTGAAGATCCCTGAGCAGCTTCTGTGCGTTGTTCAGAGTTCGAATGTCAGTGCTGAGTTGCACCTTTTGAGGTGTTATAATCCGTTCTGATATCGTCCACCCCAGATATTCCCAGGGAGCTGTAAACTGGATCTTCTCAGGAGCTATGACAAGGGAAGCCTGCGTTAGCGTGTCCCGGATATCCATAATTTGCGTCTCTGAAAATGGGGTTGGCTGCGTAAATAAGATGTCATCCATATAGTGATATATGATTACATGAGTCCATTTTTGTCGAAGAGGCTGTAAGGCTGCATCCACATATATTTGACACAAGGTGGGGCTATTGCGCATGCCCTGGGGAAGTACAGTCCATTCAAATCGTTGATCCGGACCTTCTCGATTGAGTGAAGGCAATGTAAAAGCAAACCGCTTCATGTCTTGTGGATGGAGAGGTATAGTAAAAAAGCAATCTTTTAAATCAATA